GTTCTTCTTCTCTCTCTCTCTCTCTCTCTCTCTCTCTCTCTCTCTTGTGTGTGTGTGTGTTAGATGGTCTAACTGTGTGATAGATGATTGATGCACTCTGTACACATGGTTGTCTGCTCTCCCTGGAGTCAATGCAGTGAACATTCTGGGACAGAGAGCTCTCTTTGTCAATTCACTATGTGCAGAGGATCACTGTGGTGTGCATCAAAACTATCAACTCCTTTTTCCTCACCACCACCTAGTAAACTACATGTAATCCTGACAAGTTAGCATAGGATTCACCTGCAAATTAGAGATAGAGAGGGTGGTCAGATTCCCTATGCATCAGAACCTTTGTATCTTTCCTTCCCCATGAAAAGCACTTCCCTGTTCCCAATTCATTTGGGAGCACTACAATTTACTATCTTCATTACATTGAAGATATGTAATATTTATTGTGGATTTCAAACCTTTGTATCTAAATTGGATGGGCCAAACTTGCAGACGGTACTGAAAACATCAAACAAGTAGAATACTTCAAGTTATATGATTGAGGAGACCAGCAGTTCAAATATTTCCAAGTACAATGTAATGCTGACACTACATATTAGACAAAGATTTGCCTTCAACAGTGTAACCATATGCTTTGAAGATAATTTGCTGGATTAGCAGCATGAGAACTCCTCCTTGCACATAATCTCCAGAGTGGGCAAAACATGGACCGGCAAAGTTAAAGATGAAGTTTTGTATGAGCTAACATCATTGAACCCATGAGAAGGATTAGTTGCTAATCCTTCACAGCCATTTCCTTTCTTCGAGCTCTTCAGTTGCAGTTCACCAGGAAGCTCAGGTGGATTCAGCTGAGCTCTTGATCTTGTACCTGTAGAGAAGCTTCTTCCTTTTGGAGCCAGAGTTATGGACTGTCAGAACAATTTTGCCTGCCTCTCCGATCTTGAAGCTGCCTTTGAGGACTGGCTCATCGGCGGCGACCAACTTCCTCTCCTTCTGCACGATCACCGTGTATCCGTTCTCCGACCTTGGCACGAACTCGGCGCCGTACGTCACTTCCCAGCCAAGAACTCGCAGCTCCCAAACGAGAAGGCATTTCTGCAGAGACAGCATTACGTTCCAAAATGCATGCAATTGCTACTGGTTCAGAAGTGGAAGAGGAGTTCCCTACCTCAGTAACCTGAATCTCTATGGCTTGCCTCATTGAGGGCTTGATGGTGATCTCTGTAACAGCATCAGAAGAGGTGAAGTCTGGGTCATTCTCCTTGCTCAGGCCGCCATATCGAACCGGGACTTGCTCGGGAGCAATGTATCTGATGAGATGAATCGATTGTGCATCAGGACAACCAAACTATGGTGGAGCAAGGTGAAGGCAGAAGACAATATTGACAGATGCTGCTAACTTGGAGAGCGTCTCGGCTGTGTTTGAGGGCCTTGCGAAGACGAACTTGCTCCGGGTTCTCTGCGTGAAGAAGGGGCTCATCATCCGATTGAAGGCCAAATACCACCATGGAACATTGATGAATATCTAACGATGGCAACACAGAATGTGTCAGCATTCAAACAATTATTGAATAGACGAAAATATAGGCATGCAGAGACCAATTCAACTCCACAGATCAAATTTCTTTGCATCTTTTTGATTCGATCCATTCATCAAAATGCAATTTTGGTGAAAAGAAGATTCAATCCACCACTTTGTTCAACTAAGAAATCTTTGGAAACAATGGAAGAAGAAGAAGGAACTCCAGCTACCTGCATGGCGACGAACTCCGGGTAGTTATCTTGGAGCAGAGCGAAGGCATGGCGGAGTTCCTTGGCCGGGCCGGTCGAGTTCTTGAGATCAGCGACCTGCACCATCGTCGAGATTCCGCCTGGAGTGAAGTCCAGCAGATTCCGGATGCCCTTCTCCAGGAACTGGATCCTCCACCTCAAGAACCGCTTCTTCTTCTTCTCGTCAGCGAAAGCCAGCGCGTAGAGCTCCTTGCTTTGGAGTTCCCCGTAGACGTTGTAGCACACGGGGTGGCCGGCTCTGTCGGCGCCGTGCATGAACACCGCCCTTTCCAGCTCCGGGACGCCGAGGTCCTCCGATAGGAGGGCCTCGATGCCGAACTCCTCCCTCCAGAGCACGGCGTTCTTTAGCATGGCCATGGCTTCCTTCGCCTTGAAGTCCCTCGCACGGAGGAACTTGATGAGCACAGTGTCGCTCCTCTCGTCGACCAGAAGTGGGATGCCCCAGATGAGGACCTCCTTCGCGGCCGACGCCGCGGCGGCGGCATCGGTCTTCTCCGCTTCCTCCTCAGCAGCCACTGGAGTCATGGCCTCCTCGGGTGGAGGAGTGGCGGCGACGGAGACCACGGTTTCCTCTATGGCTTCCAGCGTCTTGGCCCCATCCTCGTTCGCCGTGACAGTATTCTTATCCGCCGCCGATTGCTGTTCCGGGGCCTCGTCGTCCTCCGCCTGCCTGCTCGGTGGAGCCGGCGTCTCGGTCGCGGGCTTCGGCGGCGCTTCCACAAGGGTAGATGCGGGCGGCTCCTCGAGCTTTGCCTCCTTGGCCAATGAGGCAGCTGGTGGAGGCGGAGCGGAAGAGAACTCGCGGCTGGCGAGGGCGGCCCGTACGAGTTGCTTCATCTCATCGAGGGCCTTCTTCTCGTGGTCCTCGAGGTCAGCAACGAGGCTGCTCTCCTCCTTGAAGGAGACGGCCTGGAAGACGGAGGCAGCCTTCTCCGCGGCCTCCTTCTCCGCGCCACATGCCCGCTTCTCCTCCGCCTCAGCCGCCGCCTCGGCGGCCAGTGCCGATAGTAATGCCACCTTCTTTGGCCCTTTCACAACCTCCGGAGCAGGTACCACATCCAGTTGCTTAACCACCTCGTCCGTCGGCGTCAGCGCCACCTTCCCGACCACGACCTCCTCGGTCGCCGCCACCGCAGCTGCCTTGCTCTGGCTCACCTCGGCCATGTGCTTCGGGTTTCGTAATACTATTACAAGACGTTATAATTGGGAGAGGGAGACGACAATATATTGCGAACGTGGACAATAGAAAGCTTCATTTCCACATTAGTCCCTCACATCTTAAAAATTTTCATATAAGTCCATCTCAAGTCTTATTGAAAATCTACAGAAAAATTTGAGCCGAACCGGAGTCAACTCCGGTCCGGTTTTCTTCCCACTAGACTTCACATAAACGTGCAAGATAAAAGGCTTCATATTTCGTACAAAGCCCTTTCCAATTTGAGTCGAATTGAAATTAATGACGGCCTGACTCGGGTTCGGTTCTTTTCCACACTACTTTGGGCCGAACCGGTCCTTTGCCGCTTGCCCAGCATGTGGAGCTACTGAAAGCCGGGCCGTGGGCTTCCACTTATCTCAAGTCAGCATCTCCAAGCACAGCCAAGTTCATCCCTTTAGCTCTGCTGTTTGGCCATATCGAAGGTGAATCTCTTGATCGATTATCGTTCCGTTGATTCGGTGTAGCTTCTTATTTCTTTGTTTATATTGAGAAGATTCATTGTAGATTTATTCCTTGGGTTGCCTGGTCCCTTTTCATTCAGTTTCTTGCTATGTTATAACAAGGATTGTTGTTTGGACTGCAGAGTTGCTGATCTGATCATTACATGATGCAGTTCGGAGCCTGTTCTATTTACATGCTTGTGTAAGCAAACATCAACTGAACATGAGCTCTGAACCTTCCATTTACTGTCTGATGCAGAAGTTTCACAAAGGATTCAGTGGGCTCTGCATGTCTCTGTTGAATCAATTGGAGTTTCTCATCTAAGCTGGAGTGTAGAATTAGCACAGCCCTTACTTTGTCCATTTCCAGTGCCATTGAAAACGATGAGTCAATTATTCAGTTTGACACATTGAAATCAAGATGTAAACTGGATGGTGGAGTGCTTAGGGATGAAGTGCATTGCAAACAAAGATGGCACATCATAGCTGAATGTGAAACTATTGAGCACACTGAACACAGAGAAGGAAGAAGGCTTAATGTTTCAGTGATGATTAAGAGAACATGTTTTCTTTTCTAGGAAGGCAAATATCGGGCTATTGAATCCTGTGTTGGAAGAATTACAGCTGAGACACCATTCTAGATAAACTATGACCTACATTGGATGCTTGATGTCTTCTGTTTGAAGGATCATCTTCTAGATTTATGATGCTTATTAATTGTCTACGGAAGCATTTGCAGTTGCCATATTAACTGGTTGGCAATTCTGCTTTGTTTGTGAGACTGAATTGTCATGGTTTGATTCATGCTGATGAACTATTTGATCCCCACAAAGTCTTCTGAGTTTAGAGGTGACTTCAAGCATCCACAAAACTCTCTATGGTAACATAAGCTGAGAATAGAAAAGGAATCCACAACAAGAACTCTAAAATGTTCTGCCCAAAATACTAAACAGATTGCACATCCAAGGAAAGTTTCACTGGTAAGTAAGAACCATGAATACAAGAGTTTTGGTGATGTGATGAAAGAGATCACTGGAAGTTTCCATTCACCAAACTTTTCTTGGTTGCCTCTGTGCCACTTCATCAGTGATGCACTGGTGAAATCTTGGCAGTTGCTGTGAGGCAGGCTTTGCCTAATTTTCCTTCTTCTTTCTACCTCCATCTGTCATCAATTCTCAATTCGACAAGTCTGTGATGCCTGGCTACGATCAAGGTTTTCCACCGTACAAGTAGAAGCCAAGTAGGTGCAGCATGTTGTGGAGGACAAATGAACAAGTAGTGTTCCCTCGAGGTGTGTCAGGAAAGGCCATCAACCATGGCACATCAATCCACCCTCTTTCCCTTTCCCTCACCATATGCATTTACTCCTTCCAACCATCACCAGAATCGCTGCACTTGTATCTTTTCCTGTTCACAGATGATCTCTCAAGAAGATTCAGGTGTTAAAGCCGAGATAAAGCAGCAAGCAATAAGCACATAAGGAGCAGGACAAGCTGGTGGGTAGAAGAAGGTGGGCAAGAAACCAGAGTCGAGTCCCAGCACCATATACTAGTATTAAACATAGAAGATAATATATATATACACACATATAACAATAGCAAGTCATAATGTTCAATGAAAACAAGTGAAGAGGCTGGTAAACTCCAAGGAATATGAACCATGATAAGTATGATGTCAGAACAAGCAGTGTTCAGTGTAAATTAGATCTCCATGGAGCTCTAGAAAGGGCATGGTGTTTGCTTACTTGAGGGCATGGATAAAATATCTCTAGCTGTTGGTGCCTTGATGGAGATAGCTTCCAGCCTAATAAAGCCAAACCCATCAACACCAACAGGGTTGGGTGGGGTTGGCCCTTCTAGAATCTAAGCCCTACACTTTTCCCAACAGCCATCCACTGATTCAAAGGTTAAAGATCCCCAGAAAAAGGAAGGACATGAGGGAAGCAAAAGACATCACAGGCACAACCCTGAATTCAATGGAACACAGGCAGTGGTGGTTGTGTCTTTGGGTGATGTCATTTGGCTACCAACCACCAACTACCAGTCCAATGCCTCTTTCTGCATATGTCCAGCTTCTCTCTCTCTCTCTTCTCTTCCTGTCCAAGTTGGTAGCAGAGAACCGAGAGGCTTGGCTGTGCCTTCCAACCAGAACCAGTGCATCAGAATCCCCCTTTGCATGGGGCCTCTGCTGCACTATCCTTGGATGCATGGGGCTGAGGTGCTGAGTAAAGGTCAGGAGGAACATGGGAGATTCTTTCATTATTACCAATTTTTTAGGTCTTGGATAATGCATGGTAGATTTTGTGGAATCGATATCTTCCACCCATATGTGGGATGGTCAAAGGGGAATAGCCTTTTCACGCCTAAAGGTCATGCCAGTGGTGGACACATTGTACGCTTGATGCTTTCGGAAGGTGTCCCAGTGCTCGGCATGAGGCCTTCCATTGTCACTCAGGATAAGCAAGAGAGGAATCTCGAAACCATTTCTTTCCCTTGTAAAGATGTTTTTCCTCTCTCTCTCTCTCTCTCTCTCTCTCTCTCTCTCTCTCTTTCTTCCTCATCGTAGAGGACTTTAGAAGCTACAGCTGCTGCATGCAAGTGTGTAGGGCCCTCTCCTCTCCGCCGGACCAATGCAACATGGAAGCTTGGTCTGCAATAAACCACCCTCTCTTGACCTCGAGGAAGTATGAGGTTAACACCTGCAACACCGTCTCGCACATCGCCATTTGAGACAGAGGACAGCAAGCTTTATGGTTCATAACTCGAACCTGAGGAGGACCACATTTAGAACATGGAAATACTGCGACAGTGGCAACTTCATGGAATACAGTAGAAAGAAGAAGATGAATCGAGCATGGGAATACAGGCCGGAATTAGGAACTCAGATCAGTGAACCAAACCACCACAGCACAATGGTTGCATGCATGATTTGTGGTATAATAGCTTCTGATACGTGGATTCATCTTCTTTTTCCTCATTTTTTTTCTGTTCTACATTCTTTCCGCTGATCGATTCAACGACAGTTCCTCAAGTGAAGTGCAATAGTACCACCAGCTGCTAGAATTAAATGTGTGCTGTGGAGTGAAAGCTACTCGATAATTGGAGCTTAGTACCATGGCCGACAAGTGGATACTATAGTTAATCAATAGATGCTTTCAGGAACTAAGTACTGTTGCATGTGAAGTTGATTATTGACATTACTGACACATATCTAACCAGTACTAACCCATATGTTTTTTCTTCTCCCAAGGACTGGTGGCATTAATTAGAGTAGAATAAACTGGCATCCAATGAGCTGTCAACTTTTGGATATATAAATATATATAGATGGAGAGAGAGAGAGAGAAGAAGAAGAAGAAGAAGAAGAAGAAGAAGAAGAAGAGGAGGAGGAGCAGAGTTTGACCAAAGAGATCTGACAAGTTACCTGACACTGTAGTCCAACAGCTTAATTTGCTACTGTATTTATTAGCCTACCAACTGCTACCTTTCCTGATATGATTCTTGGCATTTTTACAGGGAAATCTAAAAGCCCTATCTGCAAGTTTGTGTTGGCATGCAAGTGTGTGTGTTCAGTTCTAACATGAAGATATATATGGATACATCAAAAAGAAAGAGTGGAGTATTAATATCCTACCAACTGCCACACACCACACTGCACAAGAGACACACCATTCATCCTCTAACCAACCAAACCCCACAAGCCATCCCTTGCGCTTCCCACTCATTAATGGCAGATGAGGTTAACCTACCACGCACAGCACATCACATGTTCGCCACACTTGTATAGGTGACAAAGGCCTCAGCTGATGTGCCCCCAACACCATTCCTTGCTGCGTTTCACACATTTCTTATCACCTTTGGCCTCCTTTTGTTTGGCACCTAACAACACATTTAGCTTTAACAGAGACTGCACACTGATTCAGCAGTTCAAAGTAACTCAAAACATACTTCCACACAGTGGGAAGGTATCATCACAGAGTTACAATGCAACCTCAACTAGTGTTGAGCTTCTTCCAGGCGTCTGATTACCCTCAGTACATGCGGCGGGTTTTGGGTGGTGTGGCAGCTACAAGCTTCGCCGCTCTGGAAACCCAGATGGCAACACAAACAAATGGCCTGAGGGCTGCTGCTTGTTGCGGCGGATGTTAGAGGCTCCGAAGGTCGGGAGCGCTTGGGGGAGCGGTGGGGGAGACTGATGGAGAGGGCGAGGTTGAGGTCGAGGTAGCCGTCCGGGTCGTCGTCCTGGCTGCCTCCGCTGCTGTTGGTCTCGTCGCAGGAGTCGGTCGCTGACGCTTTCGGGACGGCGGTCTCGGATGGGTGAGGGGCGGCGAAGGCAGCGGTGGCGCCGCCGTTGATCGGGCCGTGCGTCTGGGGGTCGATGCCCCGGCTGAGGAGCTTCCGCTTGATGTGGGTGTTCCAGTAGTTCTTGATCTCGTTGTCCGTCCTCCCCGGTAATCTCCCCGCTATCAGCGACCACCTGCAACGACGAATCAACGTTACACGCATGCGAACAAGAAGCAGCAGCTGTTGTGTACGTAGGTCTGTCATCGACCGGTGAAGCCAAAGAAGGCGACGCACTTGTTTCCGAGCAGGCCATGGAGCTTGATGATGAGTTCATCTTCCTCCTCTGTGAAGTTGCCGCGCTTGAGGTCGGGCCGGAGGTAGTTGATCCACCTGAGCCTGCAGCTCTTCCCGCACCGAAGCAAGCCTGTACAAACAAGCACGGAAGCATAAGCAAAAGCTGGGTGGCAGCACAGGATGGGATGCTCGAGAGGAGGACCTGCAGCTTTTGGGAGTGATCTCCAGCAACCTTCGCCATGGGCTTTGATGTAGGAGATGAGCTTCTGGTCTTCCTCCTTGGTCCATGCTCCTTTGTTGGTGTGTGCCTTCTCACAGCATGGAGACCTGCCCATACCAGCACAACCAGTGGGGCTTCCGTGTGATCTGCAGCTTGAGATGGGAGAAGGAAGAGGCAAAGGAGGAGAGAGAGAGAGAGAGAGAGAGATAGAGACAAAGAAGGCTGAGTTGGAAAGGAAGGAGTGGAACAAGGGAAGAGAGAGAGAGAGGGGATGGATGGATTTATATGAGAAGGGAAGCTGTGAACGCACATTGACTCCATCCTTTGAGGATCATTTGACTGAGTTTTGTGCAAGCACAGAGAGAGAGAGAGAGAGAGAGAGAGAGAGAGAGAGAGAGAGCCGGGCGTTGGATTCGTTAGGTAGGTCTACCTGTACGTCTGGGTTTGCGGCTGTTTGTTTTGCATATTGGTCCTTACATTGTAAGCTAATTATCACTATTTACAACATGATTCTCTTAATGCGTTTTTGTATATTGGTCCTTTAATTTTAAGCTAATTATCAATGAATCCTCGTTTTATCACTATTTACAACATGATTCTCTTAATGCGTTTTTGTATATTGGTCCTTTAATTTTAAGTTAATTATCAATAAATCATCGCTTTATCGCTATTTACAACATGACCTGCAATTGTTCTATAAGCCTTTTTTTGCATATTGGCCCTTTAAATTTAAGCTATTTATTAATGAATTCTCCTTTTATCACTGTTTACAACATGACTTGCAATTATTGCTTTTAGCATTCATACTTACAACCAAACACCTCAATAACACTAATATTCATGGAATTTGATTTGTTAATCAATTTTTAATTCCCATATATGAATGAAATCATCCTCTTTTTTGTTACAAAATAAAAAAAAGGGATCAATCAAAAAGTGAACATTTAATCAAAGGAATGAAGAATATTATAACCAAAAATTAAAAAAAATGATTTATTCACATTGTGGTAATATCATTTAAATTCATATTTAGTGAATGTCAAATTGTACTTAAACCAACTAATGGATGTTAAAGACAAGGGCTAAAATTTAATAGAAATCAAAAGAATTGTATAGAGATGTCAATAGACAAAAAGCAATGGCCTATGTGAAAAGAACACAGTGTGTAAATAAAATATTATTTTGTTGCAATCTGCATATTTTTATGGCCCATCTCACAAAGGTTCTAGAAACCCTCACTTATGTGTGTAGGAGGAGCAAAAGGGGTGGAGAGAGAGAATCCATCAATTTGGTGACCAACCCTTCTCCTCTTTGTTTGTGGAACAAGTTGAGCTTTTCTTCTTCTTTTTTTACTAATTACTTTATTCTTATTTATTGGCAGTCTTAGCCAATGCAGTCATCCATGACTTACTTTTGTGAGAAGCTTGTGTTCCTAACATTCTTTATGCATTCATGTGTATGAAGATGTGACTTTGTTCATCAATTCTTTCAAATTACAAAAATATTGTTTGGGTAGGCTGAGATATTGATGTTTAAAGTTGGATGAACAACTTTGAACTTGGCTTCAATTCTGTATTAGGTTCATGTTTGCCAACATTAAACTTCCATGGTATTTATCTCAAATAAAAATTTATTGTGCATCATCATGGATAGAGATAGCCAGTTCTCTAATATCTAGTTGGAATTAACATAAATGATTAGTAACACTATTAATGGAGCCTTATGATAAACTTAATGTGGCAGACAAAGATCACCTTTTATCCACCTTTTTATAGTCATCACATGAATAAAAAATAAATCAACTATTCTTTTTCTTTTTTCATGTAAAAGAAGTTGTTTGTAACTATTGATTGATGAAGGAAGAATGAATCACCACAAAAGAAAAGTGTTTGGTATTTTACTTCCTAGTTTGTATACACATCTTCTATATCTCCCATCTTTCTTCATTCTCTCTCCCATCCTTGGACTCTTAATGAATGCAAGGGAAGACATTTACCATAGTACTCATCTCATGCAATAAATTAGGGTACCATTTTGTCATAGGCTTATTAATGTCAGCTTTTCTCTTCTAATCATGGTTGTCATCATGTCCAATTTGTTAACCCTGGTCAAGTTTTTCATCTATATTTCTCTTCATTTTATGTGCCTCTGATGAGAATTGGCTCACCTCCATTGCCACTAATCTTAATGATTAAACATGTGTAAATCATCCTCATGATTTCATCATAGATTACACCTGTTGCATGCAGTACACACATGGAAACAATGTCTGTTTTGTCTCTCTAGAAATAAGCAGGGGCAGAAACACAATGTCATGGTCATTATTATACTTTTCACCTACCAGTCACTGTTGCATACTGGCCAGGCAATCAAGCATCTTAGAAAGTTAGAAGAGAAGAAAGATGGGGTGACAAGAACAATCAACAGGTTAGGGAAGTAATGACAGATATGTTGAGATGTTCCAGAGTCTTGACTCCAGCAGCAGGTTGTGTACTTGCACTCACTCAATGCCCATCTGCACCAGTACACTCTTCCAGTCTCCCTGTAGATATCCATCCATCAATTGGACTGTGATCCAGCTTCAAGGAAACAAGAAAAGTTGGCACATGTGACCCTACAAGATTCAAAAGATGACAGCTTTTACTCTGAACCAAGTGGCTCATTCATGACCTTCCTAATAAGCTTAAGAGAGGAAGGAAGGGCACCAGAAGTTTCTTTACTTCCTTCCAGAGCTTAGCCACCTTTTCTTGACTCATTCACCAGCTTCTCAATCTGTAGGACTGAAAGAAACAAGGAAAGATGGGAAAGGAATGCCAGTTGATGGAACCATCCCCAATGGTCTCAATCCAAATGGACCATGCCTTATTCATCACAATGAAGGCTAGGGGGTTGGAGGGCTTCTAGAGAGAGGAGAGGACTGTTGGGGCTTTGGTTCTACCTCACCTAATCACTGTGGTTGGTTTGTGTTGTTGACTGCTTATGGATTATATACCCACATTCCAAGGACAACTAGAATATCTTGACTGTCACTGCACTGGTCATTGTAGCAGCAAATAATTGTTGTGGGAAGACCAGCTGATGACACAAGGTCTCAACCAAAATTTTCTCCTCAGTTACTGTACACCAGGTGGGTGCATGCATAAATAAGAGATTGCTTTTGATTTCCATGAAAAAGATTTGGACTGCACAGGGGAACAGAAAATAAATTGTTGTTATCAAGAGAAACAAATGATGTTTTGGTTATCTATATGTAAAGGCTGTGTGCTAATTCACCTTAAGCTGATGGTTGCTGCCACATCTGATTTAGGACCCTCATGATGAATCTTTCAGATTGCTTCCCCTGCACAAACTCAACCTTATATTGAAGGCAGGCTAATGAGGTTGATAAGGTAGAACAATCCATGACAAGAAGCTAATACTGGGAAATAAATGATCCTGCTGATGTACAAAAACATTGTTCCTTGGATCAGCCACAGTTTGATGCAAGTGTTGACAGGTTACCAGATGCACCAGGGGTTCAATTCTCTGTGGTTGAGTTACATGCGACTATGTAGAATGCATCCACCAACATCTGTTTTCTGAAACCGAGTGCTGCAATCATAGGCCAGACACAAAGAAGGCATTCATTGTGGAAACCTACCAGATGAGGAATCAACCAAAAACTTGGTACCGCACCAACCAATCCGACTGATATGGGTCTCAATTATATTGTAAAGCTCCACCAACCTCTGCCTCCTCATGCATGAGTGTATCACAGCACAGGCATGTGCATTCCCAACCGTCATTTCCAGCCAAGGTTTTTGGGTTGAAAGATCTTCATCACCAAACCCATGTTTCTGGGGAAGTACAAGGTAGAAGAAAGTGAGGATAGAACTATTGGTTGCTGTCTAAGATATTTAATGCTTGAATGGCTAACCCCATTACCCTCAGTGTGGCATGAAACTTCTGCAGGCAGACTGCTTTTGTCCTACAATTTACTTCTTCATCCTAATCTTTCACTTAGAATTCAAGCCAGCACTACTATGAAGAAGTGCTACTTGAACTGTGCCATTGTTACGCCTTCTTTGTTCTTATTATCTTTGCATTAATTGCAGACATGGCCTCTATAGCATGCATCTGTTCTAGGCAAGATCCTCAGTTTTGTGTCAGTATTGGGATTTTACTTTAGAATCACTGATCATATACAAACAGATAGTGAAGGTTTGCGTACTGGTCTTGGTCGCACATGTACAAACAGATAGTGAAGGTTTGCATACTGGTCTTGGAACTGCGACCGATGCCATCTAGAGCAGCCACATCTTCATTTCCCTGCACAGGTGACATTAGATGAGTTTTGTGACTCAAAGCTTGTATCAGGATTGGTTCAAGATAGAGATGTTAAGATGATTTTGGTGATGGAGATTTAACGAAGAATCCGAACCGATAGAAATTAGTAGGAATCAGAAAAGTTTGACTTACATTCGTGAAGGTGTCATCCATGGATTCTACTGCCACAATCTGCCTTTGGAGTAAAAAAACCTTTTCATGTTAATTAGAAGGAACTTAAGACTGAGTTAGTGGTTGGTATTAGAAAAGCTGCGTCACATGATGAGGACTTTTGAACTGTACATAAAGGACAAGATAGAGAATGAGGAGGCACTACAGCAATTTCCTTGAGCAGCCACTCATGGTTGCCACTAGGAAGGAAATAAGAGATGGAAGATGGAAGGAGGAAAGGGAAGAGGGAGAGATTTTACAGGCTGAAAGTTCTCTGTATGCTTTGTTGTTTATCCTCTTGCTTGACCACAGCAACCACTGAGGAACTTCAATACCTATCAATTTCCATCAAATGAAAGTAAATTATTCCAATATGTAAACAGAAATGATAACACCAATTTCTGCTATCAAGTGACAACAATTCAAATTTTTAATAATTCATCAAAAAAATTAAAAGGGGAAAAAAAACTTTGTTTCGCAAACATTAAGTTGCCTTCAGAAGAGAGAAAAGGATATGTCATGGATCTCATTTTTTATTAAACACCATCACTGGTACATAACTATCACCTGCTGGGAATGATTCTAGGAAGGAACAGCAGATACATCAAAAATCTGATTCATTCAGGATATATGCATCAAGCACCAACTAGAGATCATTTACCTCTTCTGAATTGCTCTAGCAGTGGATTTGTTAGTACTTGCTGCCTCCAATGAATTGTAATCTTTTGGTCCTCCGACTTCAGAAAGGAAACAGAAGAAAGAATTTAGAGAATGCAATCATCTGCTGCACGGTAGTCGTCCTTGCAGATTCATCTGCAAAGAGTTTAGATAAGCAGATTCATCAGTAGAATAACATCAATCTCTCATCTGACTGCTTAATTTCTCGGAAGAACAACAACAATTATTATCTCTTATTAGAACAGGGAGGCAGTCCCTTCTGAAACATTTGTAGGTGATGATTCCAACGTTTACTGCCTATTATGTCTAAGGAATAGGTAATATGAACCCTTAATCATACTGAAATCTTCTATAATAAAGAAAAAGATAAATATTTTTTCTTTCATTGCATATAACCTAACATAACTCTGTCCACATTATGATCAAAACTTGAAATTATTGGCAATCTTCCAGGAAGAAGATTATTATCCATCCAGCAGTGCTGTATCTTTTGGTAAATGTTCTTCATCATCACAGAACAGCTTCACATGACAAACCTAAACATCCTTTCTATAACTTAGATTTCAGACACTGCCAATGCTGCTGATAAATGTCTGATTGATTAGTTACCAACAGTTCCAAAAGCTTAAGATCTTAAGAAAACTCAAATGAAGAACTGAGTATTGTATAAATGAATTCTATAATTGAACACTAATATTATTACAATATAAATAAGAAAGAAACCAATATACCTTGAAGCTTTTAATAACTACAATGTAAAATACCAAGTTCTCAGCAAGAATGAAGATTCTACATTAGTCCAAGCCAATGAACATGAAATTACAACATTACAACATCTTTCTATGTGTATCTTTCTTGGTTTATCAATCAAATCACTAATAGTATTGTTTTGATTTTTGAAGCCAATTTGAACTTAGTGTACATAATTCTTGTCATTAATCTCCATGCAATAGGATTATAACCAATCGGGTGGCTCAGAATACTGTAATCATTGGAGATGGAGACCCTCATGAACGTGAACATAGAAAAGAAGATACACCATATGAATGCAGGGATGAGAAGTGGAACCACTTGGATGCACAGAAGGAAAAGAACCAAGAAGAGATTCATTGACAAGCTGAAATATTTGTTCCTGAACAGATAATCTTCTTTTGACACTGCAAACTCTGAGCTGGTTTGGTGGTCTTCTCTGCTGTCTGCACCTTGTTGATGACAGGTAGGGGGTTGGACTAGGTGATGGTGATTCATCGGCTGGTGGTGCTCAGAATTCATGCTCCGGCCACCACCTCTACGATAAGCATTGAATGCCGCGAGCATCCGCCGATTAGTCTCCGACGTGCTCAGCCCAGGATGCTGCGCCACCAGGCCGCTCGTTGGCTGTGGCATGAACTGTAGTGGTGCTTGGGCCCGCTGATCCTGCCGTGACGGGGAGCATCCAGAACGGAGCCCAGCTCCGTTATTTGGGGCAACCGCCCACATTGCAGCCGGAGGCAGGACGCTCGACGGCAGCTGTTGCAATTGGAGGCTGCTGGTCCCCCTCACGGACTTGGAGGCCGACTATGGAGACGAAGGGCTAACCCCTCCTCCTTTTTCCTGCTGCTGCTGTGGTGGACGAGTCTGCTGCTCATCTTTGCAGAGATTTTCTCTGAGACGTTTCCTCAAATATGTGTCTGCGGAATCGCCACCGACTCTGCTGCCGAGCCGCCTTCTTGTAGGCCTTCTGCGACCTGATCGGCGGCCAGAAGCTGATGCCGGTGGATATATATATATATATATAATATTTTTAGGCAAAAATAGTGTGTGTATGGATCACTACTTACGGGTCAAAAAGATGACTACATGCATGTCTGTCTCTTTCACTTCATCTGCTTCCCCAAAGGACTGAGACAAGTGGTGCTGAATTGTTTGATGACGATTAGGAAAGTGAGGAGGGCACCATCAAATTATATGACTGCTGCTGCTGCTTCCTAACCTACCGCCAGGCGACATGGGCAGCCACGCCATTGAAGGTGGGCGTCAGATGGAGCATCTAATGCTGATGATAACCATCTCTTCCTTCAAAGACATCTCGATTCCGAAAGAACATTCCGTCTCTTGCATACTGACCTCCCGTTAATGCGATGCCAGGTAGCAGAATACTCATCTGCCAGTCAACTCCAGATTGCTCCACCTTTATCCACATTCTTATTCTAAGATGAACAGCAAGGTGTTTGATTATTTTACTCCACGAGCATCAACTTTGATCCATCTTCGTGCTCATCTTTTCACTCACAGCTGGATAAGGAACTCATCCATGGGTATTCTGATCAGCAAAGCAATAGCATACATGTGTTGTAGATTTGAAGGCCGAGCTGTCTGCATCAGTCATCGTCGCTGGCCATGATAATTCTGCAGCAGCTCGTCTGTCTTCTTCTGCCTCTTCACCACCAAAGCTGGCACTGTCGAGCAACAGGGGCTTGGCATGGGTAAGACTTGGTGGGCGACGCATGCGTGGTCTGAGCCTTGCCTTTGCCGTCTCTCCTTGCATGCCCGTACGTGCCTGCTCCGTGAAGCTTTTGTGCGTGCGGTAAAATGGCTGACGCATGTCGGAGGAGAATAAGGACAGCGCAACTACCATTAGATTTAGCTTTAGGTTTCTGAAATCAAAGAATGTAATAGAACTCATGAATCGTGTGATTCCATGTTCTCCGATGAGCTCTCTTTCAATCATGGATTGTCTCAAAAGGTAGAAGAACCAAAAAGAAGTGATGATCGTCTCTCTCTCACTCGTTCAGCTCACCTAAAGGCCTTTATATAGCACTGTTGACAGAAGTAGCTCAATCTATCACTGATGTTTGGGCTGCAACTTCACCTACATATGATGTTGATGTGCTGCAACCTTGTTTCCAGTGTGTCTACAAACATCAAGTCTCATTTGCTCTTCACATGCTTGTCTTTAGGCATTCCTCCTGCTTGCTTATCATTGACTGACACAGGCAAGACTTCTAATGAGTACATCTGCTAGCTGTGGGATGTTGAGAACTTACCATCCACCATCACAGTTTCAACAAGATATCTGATGAGTAGCAGCTGGCTGTGAGATGCTCAAAACCTACACATCCACCTCCCAAATAAACACCTTTAGAGATCACTTGCTTCAGGCAAATTTCTATGTTACAAGAAAAGACAATTACATTGGCTTTCATAATCTAAGTATCGAGTATACAAACATCCTCCTTATATTCTATAACCAGCAGGAATTCCAATAAGTTTAATTGGGAAATCCAATATCTGTATATATATATATATGTATATATAGTAAGATAAGATAAGATGAGTTGCTGCCGTCAGTTGATTGGATACTCTCCGCAGGCATGGACTTCCTTGACCCTCTTATCGTACTCATCATCGTCTTCCTCTTCTTCCACTCCAGTCTCTTGGTTCTCGTGCTTGCCTTCCTCCAGCTCGTCCTCCTTGGCCCAGGCAAAGCCTGCTGCCGGAGCAGGCGAGCCCGGAGTTATCCTTGCCTCCTCAACAATCTTCATTATCTCATCCACACTCTGAAGAGAGAAGGTAGGCGCAGTGTTGTCCCTCTTGTAGTATATAGCTTGTGCTGCTTCGGTCAGCGACCTGGGCAAGTTCTTCAAGAACCAGGGGTGGTGCCTTATCTCCCTAATCGTTATCCTCTGGATAAAACAGCAGCAAGTCAATCCATTACGGTAACATCTGAATCAGATTCTACCGTGAGGCTTTGGAGGACCAAACTACCTTCGATGGGTCGGCCATAAAGATCCCGGAGAGCAGTTGCCTGCAATCCTTTGAAATATGGACGTACTCGGGTATTGTGTACTGCACTGACATGATCCTCTGCGGTCCAAACAAGACATGAGAACATCGAAGAAGGAGACGATGGAGGAGAGGATAAGAGCTATAACCACTACCGTCATGGTTTTCCTAAAATTCTTGGTGTCTTCTGGGTCTTCAAAGGGATATGCTCCCACGAGCATCACGTACAGAGTAACCCCACAGGACCACACATCAGCCATCTGCACCATTAAATACACTAATTAGAATCAGCTTACAGAGGAGAACTGCAGCACAGAGAACAAAAAAGGGAGCATCAAAAGATAGATTAATGGTCAAGCGAACCCAATGCGATTATGCTTCGTCTTCAATGCAAGTCACGATCACCATGTTCTGTCTCCTAAAAATGCCAAGCACAGCTCTGCACCAACCACCACCGGGGCCCCACGCAGCCGGGTGGACGTCGTCTGCGACAAGATCATCTTTACTGATGATTCTCCGGTGTGTACACGCCGCAGCGAGTCGTCGTCCGCATCCCCTCGGGGCCCTTTCGAGATGGAAAGCAGAACGCGGAGGAAGAGAGAGGAAGGAGAGAGAGGAATGGATGCGGGGCTGACCTTGCCATCGTACTCACGCCGCGAGAGGACTTCGGGGGCGATGTATGCGGGCGTGCCCACCGTCGACTTGGGGCGGGAGTGAAGCAGCGACGACTGTTTCACGCGCACATGAAGACAAAAGGCACATTTTTGTTGGATAGAGGAATTGCCATTGACTCGGAAATGGATTAGGAGACGAAAGAAGGATCGGTAACCTTGGAGTAACCGAAGTCGCAGATCTTGAGGCGCGGCGCCGGGCTGCCGTCGAGCAAGGTGTTCTCCAGTTTCAGATCCCGGTGGCAGATTTGCTGGAACAATTGTAATCGTCGTACGATCTCGGAGAAAGATTACTTTTTTTTGGACTGAAAATGTGATTTTGAGGGGAGGTTTTACCATGAAATGGCAGTAGCTGACGCCGGAGATGAGCTGCTGAAAGAAATATCTCGCCTGCATACGCCGCAGCTGAAGGTTAAGAAAGCGATTTGGGAGACTGTGTTGAAGAAATTGAGAGCTTGCTTGCTACCCAAAGAAAACGGAGGAAACATTGAGGAAGAAAGTAGAACCTCATCTTCGCTGAATCTTCCGGCGTGGCAGATGCGGTCGAAGAGCTCTCCGCCGGCGGCGTATTCCAACACGATTGCCAGATGCGTGGGCGTCAGCATCACCTGCGGTCAAAAGAACAACGAGCCAAATTGACTACCCAAACCCTCTTAAGGCGACGCGATTAGGGCTTTCTAGCGCTCGAAAATTCGACCTCTTTGAAACGGATGATGTTGGGATGACTCAGCGACCGCTGGTTGATTATCTCCCTCGCAACGTTCTCGTTGATCTGCGACACCCGTAATGGGACGGAACGACACCGCAATCAGGGGATTCGATCGGCACCATACCGGAAGAAGAAAACGGAAGCAAATATCGAACCTTGGGGCCTCGGGGGATGTACTTCATGGCAACAAGCTCGCCCGTGTCCTTGTTCCTCATCAACCGCGCGACCCCAAAGTTGCCCGATCCGATGTCCTTCACCAGCTCGTACATCTCCATCATCCACCCACGCCACCGAATCCACGCACGAACACCACCGGAAGAACAAGGCCCCTTGCCGAGAACAGCTATCTTCGGAAGCCGAAAGGGAGGCCGTCGTTCGAGAGCTCGAACGAAGCAGCAGCAGAGGAGGCGTGAGGAACAAGGAAGCAAAGAATGCGGGGTTGAAGGGAGGTTTATTCGAAGACTTGCGGCGCTTTTGGGAGGTAAAGGCACGCGAGCGGGCGGGAATAGGATGTATCGGTAGAATGTATTGGTGGTGACTTGGCGGGGAGCTCCGAACCGTCGCGATTTCCTAATACTCTTTGCTACCTACTCGTCTCACCTACCTCCCCTGTACAAGTATAACTGGCAGCCACTGGGACCCAGCAGACCCACCTGGGTAATCACAGATAATGGATAACAAAGGAAATGAACGGTTCTGATCCACTCTCGTGCAATGCTTTCAGGTAGGCCCTGAATCCTGTCTTGGCCCGCGTAGAACGCAAGTCGGCCTGACCAATTTAGCCTCATTGATCTTTGCAATGAAAGCTACAATAATAATAATAATAATATTATTATTATTACATAAATTTTGATTAATTTGTTGTGTGACGAAAGATCTACTCGACTAGATTTCATAATCATAGGGACTGTAATAAATACTTGAAGGTGATTATATTCACTCTCCTGATTTGTTACATAATAAAAGGAATTGATAGTAGATGTACAATTACAATCTTCCTCGTTTGTTACATGATTAGATAGATTCATTTGTTATACGATTAGAAGAATTCATTGAATGATCGGAGTGAAAATTCATGTGTTTTGAAAGGCTCGATTCGATGAACTATTTAAGAATCAAATAAAATCATAATTGAAATATATTTCTTAATGGCTAGATTTGTAATTGTGTCAAAGGATTTCTCGATGATCATTGCATTCGATTCATTTCTTATGTTTGAATAGTCACCTTCCCGATTGGTTACATGACGATGAAAGGAATTGATTGCATGATCGCCTTCTTTATTTATTGTATGATTGAAGTGATTTGTTACGTGATCACATTCCTTATTTGTCATTCATGCGTTTTGGGGCATAATGTGGACGATAACATGTCACGTATGATACGTTAATCTATGGTAATCATATCTTTCAGAACGTAAATGCAACTCATTCATGCATATAAATCGTGTCCGATACTATAACGTGTCTCACTGAAGTGAAGTCAAAATAAACGGTCAATAATCTCCAACTTGTTTGACTGAAGTCAAAATAATAGCCGTTGTAACGGTCCGCCTAATATATAACACGTTTCGCTTGAGTCATAATAACGGCCGGTATAATGATCGCGAACCGTTATATTGGGGTCGAGATGGAGGAGCGAGGGAGTGGCTGTTTAAATAGGAGACGAGTCGAACCCAAAACTGCCCGCCTTTCTACTCTCTTCTCTCTCTTCCGATCTCATCTTTCTCCGCCCCAATTCGTAGGGTTTCCGCTGCGATGGTCACCGACGTCGCGCACCGTGTGCAGATCCCGGTTCCGGGAAGGAGCGGCAACGGCGGCAACTCACCCTACGGGAGCTTCTCCAAACCCGCGTCCACTAACCGAGCCTCGTAAGCATCGTCTTTATTGCTCGTTGATCTGCTGATTCTTGATCAATCATCTCCGTTGATGATCGAGTTGGAACAGGGGGGAGAGGAGGGTGAAGAGGCTGAGGTTGTCGAAAGCCCTGATCATCTCCGAGGGGACGACGGTTTCTGAGGCGTGCCTGAGATTGGCTGCTCGTAGGGTGGATGCCGTTCTGCTGACGGATGCCAATGAGTTTCTCTCTGGTATTGTGACCGCTAAGGTTGTCTCATTTCTCTTGACATGATTGCGTTATCTCGTGAGTTGAGGTTGATTGGCTGCGTTCTTTTTCTGGTGTTATTTTCCGGATAGGATGTAGCGACGAGGGTTGTAGCAGAGGGTTTGGACCCAGAGAAGACGATCATTTCAAAGATTATGACTAGGAACCCAACGTTCGTCATGGCAGATACGCTGGCCATCGAGGCATTGCAGAAGATGATTCAAGGTACCCCTTTCTTGTTCGATCTTTAATTTAATTTCTGCAGAATCTTTGGTAGGATGCTTGCTGACAATCCCGTAAATTGTCATAGGAAACGTACAAGAAAACAACATAATAAGTTTTACTTTGCTTGACAGCCTAGATGTTTAAAATACATTGGCTTGTTCTTTGTTGTTGTTACTTGAAAAGTTGCATCCAAATATATGACTAGCCAAACTCACTCTATATGAATAGTATTAAGATCCCTGATTAATCTACCAAAGGCCTTCTGTGGATTTATCTGCAGTATAATAGTTGGCTTTAAATTTCATAGTTATGTGATGGAATTAGAAGAATTTAGATGCTGCCACTGTCAATAAAAGGTTGAAGCAAGAGATTTTGTTGCAAGAATCAGTTTTCCAGTTGAGAACTTTCTTTTTTGTCTGACTCAGAATCTCTTGAAACCTGTGAGACTCTTGCATTGACAAAACCATGACAGTTCTGTTAGTGATGACTTTGGTTTCTGATTGAAAGGTTGAAACCCTCGAACCCTGTAAGCAATTTTCAGATAATGTCATGAGACGCTGTGGGTTTGGAGACATGTTCTGCTATACAAAACAATTTTGTTATGCGTCATAGTATTTTGCATCTTTTTGATCAATTCAAAATTTAGTATCAAGCTCATGAACCCAAGTGTATTATAATTTTTTTCTTAGCTATTACAACAAGTATTCCATCATGATACTTAATCCTTTTCCTTTCCATATTTCATTTCTACAGGAAAATTTAAGCACCTTCCAGTTGTAGAAAATGGTGAGGTTATTGCCATGTTGAACATTGCTAAGTGCCTGTTTGATGCTATTTCAAGAATAGAAAAGGCTATGGAGCAAGGCAATGCTATAACAGCTGCACTCAAGGGTCTTGAAAGTCAAATGGAAAGTAAATTTTCAGGTCAGCAGATTTACTTTGTGGATTAGAATAGGATGGCTTGTGGCATTCATAGCATAATATCTTTTGCGCACACTATATTTACTTGCCAGTAAAGACAGAAATGTGATTATACAATGAAAAAGGATGAGATGAGTTCTAACCTCTCTAGCATAGACTGATACTGGACGGTGCTAATAATTCATTTTGATGGTATACTGACCATAAAACGATTATTTTATGTAGGGAAGTAGAATATCTTGTAGCTCCTTTTTTGTTATGTCTTGGAAAGCCTTTTAACTATCATATTCAAACTAGCAGACTTAATCATCAGCTCCTATGTCAAGTGAAAGACTGTTTGGTTCTTTTAAGATTAATCTCTATGTAATTTAGTCCTTGAATCATTTTATTGGTGAACAGAGAAAGATGGAACTTAGATTAATCCCGAACACATTTGTTATCAGTCCTTGAATTTAGTAACTTTATGAATTTGTTCCTGGCTGCAGTTCCTTATACATTCACTGAAGCTCTTCACCAAAATATATGTAATCCTGTTCTGTCAACTATCATCTCAGAGAATGTGAGGTATAGTTGCATTTTTTTCAGAAATATGTAGCGCTTGGTGAATCACAATTGTTTGATGCCATATGTTTTAGCAAGAATATGGTTTTATATGCTTTCTAATTATCTCTAAATTCAGGGTTGTGCTAGTATCTCCTTCAGATTCTGTCTATGTTGCCACAAAAAAGATGCTTGAATTCCAAGTTTACTCGGTCATTGTTGCAACCAGAAATGGGCTTCAAGGGGTTCTAACGTATGTTCCTTTCTTGGATTTTCTTTCTTTCTTTCTTTTTTTTGCATTTGAAGCTCGCTTGCTGTAGTACTGTCACTTCTGTTGCCTTTCTGTTGCCACTGCTTCATAGTGATTATTGATGTCTGCCCAAATGCAACATATTGCAGCTCAAAGGATGTGGTTATGTGTGTAGTTGCTCAACATCTTTCTCCTGAACTGACTCCATTAGAAAAGGTATCTTCTGCTGAACTCATTTTGCAAAGTTCTTTCTTTAGATGATCGTATAGCTCATGTATGAGGTATGAAATAAATTCTCTAAGTTGTCTGGAAAAGTCAAAGTATAGTATTAAATTTTGATTAAGTGACATTTAACTGTGACTTAATATTGAATTGTGTTCTGTTAACTTTTCTTATATGATATTTTTATTGCTTCTGATTTTGTTCCACGAAATCTGGATATTTACTAACCATGAGTCATTTTTGAGATGCAAAGGTAATGACTGCAAACACTGAGTGTGCTACAATGGAGATGACTATTCTTGAGGCATTGCATCTAACGCGTGACAGTAATTTTTTATATCTTCCAGTGCTAAGCAGAGGTAATTTGCTTTTGCTTTTCATCGATGATGAATTTCTATGCTTCATTTATCCAACCTGCTTATATCACAGAAGATCATGTTGTTGCTTGTTTGGATGTTCTTCAAGTAACCAGTGCTGTGATCCTGATGGTAAGTAAGTGTCACCAAGTTATACCTCTCTAATCTTGTGTCCAAAATAATTAAATTTGTTTAATTTTTTTTATTTCTATACTAGACTGCTAACTTTTAGTTGACTTAAATCGAATGGTTGGGATCTGGATTTATTTTCATGTAATAACCTTCTCTATAACAATAAAATTCTGAGATATCTTCATGTCTGGAATGCAAATGCATAGCCATGCAAATTCAGGCTTCCGAAACTTGGTGCAAAGAAATTAAGAATTAAAAATGCTCTTTTTTGCTTCTTATGTTGCATGGATACCGTGCCAACCATACATACTAAGTGCCAGCAAGACCTTAATCCTGATGGTTTGTTACCTGTACACTCCAGTTCACCAAGAGTAAATATACCAGATAATTGGACACTGGGTATTGATGCAGATACAGAATCTCATAAACGGTAAAATCCTAGGAAATTGGCTCAAGGCTTTAAGTTTTGTGCCATGTCACCTCTGTCATGTCTGAAAATTGTTCTCTTGAGGCAATGGTTCTACATTAAACAGGGGTAAAGGAGGTAGACGGTGACTAGCATCTCAGTCATATCTTATTGTTTGTCATATTAAAAATCTTTCAAAATCTAGGTTTAGATTTTTTATATTAATTACTGATTTATACTATGCATGCATAACATACATGTCTTCTTTTCGAGTGGTAAATCATGAAGATAAGATTTGATCCAAAGACCTTGTTATCAACAGTCAAGTTGCTCACATGCATGTATTGAAGCAAG